TTTCTTTGCTTCGCTTTAAAATCGATAAGATATGAATTTTGTATTTTCCACTCCCAGAGTAATTTATTTGTGTATGGCAAGAGTTTATGATGACATTTCTTGTGCAGGAGCATGCTAAAGGAGGAAAATGCATTGTTTTTACACAAACAAAACGAGATGCTGATCGCCTTTCATATGCATTGGCGAGAAGCTTCAAATGCGAAGCTTTACACGGTGATATATCCCAGAGTCAGAGGGAAAGAACGCTTGCTGGTTTCCGAGATGGGCATTTCAAAATTCTTGTTGCAACTGATGTTGCTGCCCGTGGACTTGATGTGCCTAATGTCGATTTGGTGAGTCAAAACTACACTTTTCATACTCTAAACAAGGTGTGTTTCTCATCTAACTAAACCTATCTATCCGTGTTGTGATTGTAATTAGATCATTCACTATGAGCTTCCTAATAACACGGAGACATTTGTTCATCGAACCGGGCGAACGGGTCGTGCTGGAAAGAAAGGAAGTGCTATTCTCATCTACAGTCAAGATCAATCCAGGGCTGTAAAAATAATTGAGAGAGAAGTTGGGAGCCGATTCACCGAGGTTATAGATAATCTGACTTTCTTTTTAGCTATTTGTTTCTTTTCCTGAATGCATGGAGTAAATGTTTGTATCCATTGGGTTTTGAATTCAGCTCCCTAGCATTGCTGTGGAACGTGGAAGCGCAAGCATGTTTGAAGGAATAGGTTCTCGATCCGGTGGGTCCTTTGGAGGAGGCATGAGGGATCGCGGTTCAAGCTTTGGTGGTCGTTCAGGCGGCGGCTATGGTGGCAGCAGTGGTGGCTATGGTGGTGGCCGTTCAGGCGGATCAAGCAACCGTTATTCTGGTGATTCTGACCGTTCTGGTTTCGGGAGCTTCGGTATGCGTTCTCCTGAAGGATATGGTTCAGATCGTTCTTCTCAGTCAGGTGGAAGGAGCAGTTTTGGTGGTGGTCGTTCAGGTGATTATGGCCGTTCAAGCGGATCATCAAACAACCGTTCCTCTGGTTTTGGTGACTTTGGCTCTGACCGTTCTTCTCAGTCAGGCGGAAGGAGCAGCTTTGGTGGGTTTGGCTCAAACGATGGGAAAAGATCATACTGATAAGTGTTTTTACCCGAACCGGCAATAATTTGTTTGACCTTAGGAGGAGGATTCGGTGAGTGGCTCGAGTAGATTAGTTACTACGGCGGATACGAAGGAGTCAAGTTATATATATAAAAATCTGTAGCTATGTAAAACAAACAAATACTTTTTTGAAGTTATGTTATCAATTATTATTTTCATATATGAGTTGATTGATTATCTTCTTCTTTGCATAATTTGAATTATGTATTCTTTCTATTCTGCATATGAGGGTTTTGGCATGTCTTGATATATGTATTCTTTATATTTTGCATATGAGGTTCCACAAAAACGGAATTCCGAATTTTTGGAAATACCAGTGA